GACTTGGTCACCGCCTACCATGCAAGTATGAACAACATAAAAGCAGCTTCCGAAAAAATGGCCGCAGGAGTAATTATGCAAAATATTTCAATGAAAATAAAAAACGACAAAAAAGCAACAAAGTAACAAAAGAAAAACAATAAAACAAGTTTCAGCAAGCGATAATTTACAATTATCTACACTCAAAGCTGCATACATATGTACGAGTATGTACATATCTACAAGCGCTCTTTAGCAGACAACTGAAACCTATAATTAAATGAATATTTTTCTTTTCGGTGTATTCAAAACTTATGTATGTATGTTCATATGTATGTATAACCAAAAAATTAAACCGAAAAATATTTGATCGAAAGCTATCGATTTTGACATGCATTGGCTTGCGTTTGAGTACACAAGTATCTGGGGCGTTGCCATTTATGCCCAAAGGTTCTAAAGGTCAACAAAATGCAACGCCTTCGAAATTTCGGCGCAAGTCAAATTTAATAAAATTCAAAATTAACGAACAACAATCAATTGTTGTTGGCTCATGCCGCTTAGCTGTCCGGATAGCTCACTCAACCTTCTACCGAAATGCATAATTAGCAGCTTGAGGCCAACAAATGGCTAGACATTTGGACCATATCAACGTAATGGGTGTAATTATTTTTATATTTTGCTAGATTACTTTTCAAATATGTATGCATATATGTGTGTACACATTTAAATATTTGAAATTGCAAAAGCATCACAAAATTTCATATTTCGATATCCAAAGTGAATTAAAAGAGGTAAACAAAAAAATTAAAATCAAAAAGGACTTAAAAAACAGCGGAAACGCTGTTAATTTGTTGAGTGAAGCACAGCAATCTCACGGTACCGTAGTCTATACGATTCGCAATCCTCGCGATGATTTCCGCTTTAAACATAAAAACTATATTTTTCTGTTTGTCAATGTAGAAAGTAGGAAACATTAAGAAGGGCAAGGTGTTTTAGGTTATTTTAGAATCGGTGCAAAATACTCTGCTGCAGTGCAGATACATTTTTACTTTCTTGTTTGATTTCCACGCAGAAAGAGGAGTTCGCTCAATTATGCTGACATGTAATATACACTCTCCATTTGAGGATGCTTTGAAAATACACATTTTTCAGCAATTGATTTGAATTTTACTGTGCAAATGACTCAAAAGTCGAAGTTGTGGAAATCTCTTCGAAATTTGGGACACGAACCAATTACAAATCGTAATAATTTTGTGTTCTATTGAGAGATTTCTCTTTCTCTTCTTCCTCCAAATTCTTCGTTTAAATCGTAAGGTACAAGATCAAGCTTGATATATTTATTGGCTTTGGTTTCCATTATTATATACTGTTATTCGTGCGAAATATAACTTAACAACAAGACGGCGCTTCATGTCACCTTGCAAATCAAACTTTTCAGTTTCTGCATCGAAAATTTTCTGGGCGATATCATAGACTGACATCTCCACATTTGATCCTCTCTGAGTTCTTATGACGAGCTCACGCAAACATTTAAGCCGAAATTATCCCTATACTCGTACATACTGCACGAAAGGCTCGATAAAGTAATGATTGAATTCAAATAATTTGCAAAGGTGAAGATCAAACAAAAAGTGTTTGTTTTTTTTAAATTTATTTAATTTTCATATACCGACGTAATATTTGTACATATACCTTTTTTCTGACCCACATAACGGACTTTTTAAAGAATGTGTTTTTCGTACATTCAAATTTCAAGAAGAAATAAAACGCATATAATTTAATATCAAGGTTTGTGTTTCAAAAATAATTTCATACGAGAGGGAAAAATTTCGACCTTTTCTGCAGTAATTGGGGCCTTGCGAAACCTATAATGCGCCGAATATTCTCTTCCAAGGCGCCAATCGTCTCGGTTTTATCTGCATAGGCAAGTGACTTCACCTAAGCTCACAAAAAATAGAACAGCAGTGTACCATCTAGGAAGTCACGCAACAAGCTTATAATGCCAGATAACGCACTCACTAAAAATATTCTTCAGTTGGAACCACAGGTTGTCCATTATGACCATCTTTTTTCTCGAAGAAAGCTCACCAAACAGTAACTTTGTGATGATCGGTGGTCATCTCATTTTACTACCTACCGTACGTGCGACACGCTGAGTGGTCCATCAGCTTCAATTTTTGTGCGAGTTGGATTTTGCAAGCCCGGAAACCAAGATCTTTCCACAAAATCTTACATTAGGTGACCCCATTTGCTGCGCGCTTTGGTGAAGCAATCAGTAAAGCAAAAAATTATTAATTTTTGGTTGAAGAAAATTAATTCTTGCTCACATGTTTTTAAGGTATTTTTACATTTTCTTCTCTTTGTTTATAGCGCCACTTCAACTGTCTTCTATAAGTACCTTCTTTAAGTACATACTTGGCATTCCTTTCATAACTACTTTAGATATTAGTTTAATCAAATATTGAACGACCATCGCATTCCGATCAACATTTTTATCTTCTGAAGTGTTTTTATGGAATTTCTTTGCTATTTCACACTTTAACGTAAATGAAAAAATAATTATTAATAAATTATGATGACGAATGGGGGAATGCTTAAATGGAAAAATATTAATTTAGAATACAATAGATGTGAATAATTATTCGCTATGTTGGTAAAATATATTAATAAATATTAGCTTGAAGTTATGTTTGTAGGGCAAGTATGCTACCGAGGTTTTTTTTACAAAAAATGTGAAAAAAGTTATTAGCAATAGAAAAAGAGTTTGACAGTGTTTAGTTTTATTGATAATAAATGTTTAATCAATTGGGTATGTTTATTTTGTAAAAAGAAATCATTTGTTTTGAAACTCTACTGACCTCTTAACGGAATGAGAATGAAGCTTATATTCAATGTATGAACAGTGTGCCACAGAACTGAAAATACATGGCAATAAATATCTCACCCAGCATCCGGGCAGCCCGTATTTCTGTATGTTTAATTCAACTTAAGTGTAAAATAAATAATATCGGGTGCACAACTTTGCTTCCGCCGTTTTCCGATAGGTGGCTATACCGGCTGAGGCTGGTTGAAATACATAGATGGTAATGCCTTTAAAGTGAGTGTGGACAGTGCTTAACGTATTGTCATTGCCGTTTTAGTGACAGTTGTACTTGTTTTCGTATTATTCACGCTCGAAAATATCCGTTTATGTGCTTACTTTCCTGTTACAATTCGAAAAAAAATACAGCCGAAGCGCATCGAATGCTCTTAGAAGCTTACGGTGATGCTGCTCTGAGTGAAAAAACGGGTCGGGAGTGGTTTCATCGTTTTAAAATTGGTGATTTCGATGTCGAAGACAAACAAGGTTTTGATTTGTATTTGGTGGGATCAGCTCGGTGTGATTTACTACGAGCTTTTAAAACCGGGTAAAACCATCACAGGAGATCGCTACCGAATGCAACTGATGCGCCTTAATCGCGCGCTAAAAGAAAAGCGACCACAATATCAAGAGCGACATGACAAAGTCATTCTCCAACACGACAATGCTCGATCTCACGTCGCAAAAGTGATCAAAAAGTACCTGGAAACACTTAAATGGGAAGTCTTGCTCCACCCGCCGTATTCCCCAGATGTCGCCCCCTCTGACTTCCACCTATTCCGTTCGATGGCACACGGCTTGGCAGATCAACATTTTCAATCCTTCGAAGAATTGGAAAAATGGATTGCTTCATGGATAGCGTCAAAAGAGGACTCCTTTTTTTCGAGCCGGGATCCGAAAATTGCCGGAAAGATGGGAGAAAGTTGTCGCTAGCGAAGGACATTACTTTGAATATTATATCTGTAAGCACTTTTTCGCAATAAAGCTTTTAATTTTGGAAAAAAAAATGGCGGAAGCAAAGTTGTACACCTGATATATAAGCTGGCGCGAAAAATGAGCTCCTAAGAGAGAAAATAAAGTATATTAGTATTTATAGGGTCCTTAAGTCCTTTTCAAGATCTTTTAAAGGACAAATTTCAGAGTTTCCTTTTAAGTTAGATCACAATCATCAATATTTTCGCAAAATTATGATCTTCAAAAATCATCAGAAAAATGTTAAAATAACTTCGGCTGTGAGAAAAAATTATAATTCTTTGATTTTAAAATTCCTCAATCTTTCGACATTGCATTACAACGTTATATATATATATGATATTGTTACAGCGGTAGACAAATTATGCACAAATATGTGTAGTCATTATGAGGCATGAGGAGCAGTTCAGAAGCTACTCCCCCTCCTTCAGTAAATTAGTTCAAGTATTTAGAGACGTTAAGGATCTACTCGACCTTCTGGAAGGACGCAAAGCGGTACTATTGAAAAAAATCTTATCACTATTTCTGCCTTCAAGCGAGATTTTTTTATACTTGATTAATCAATATTTTCGAGAGTGATTAAATCAGTAAGAAAAACATGTAATCAAAGAGGAAGACAAAAATCGATTTGAATTTCTAATTTCCCACTCATCGTGTTGTTGGTATGCATTCACAATTGAGTGTTTGAAATGAGCATTATGATGACGCTCTTAATTAACACGCATTAGTAATGTCAAAGTGTTGGCCAACGAGTTAACTACGCACAGCCAATCAATGCTTGATCGTTAGATAAGCGCAACGATTCGCTGTTGGGATGGGCAGACACGAAGAGCTGGTCGCAAGTTATGCATGTACGAGTACATATGCATGTATGTGTAGATGTGCAATAAAGATTATCAGCGAGGAAGCCATTTTTTTTGTGTTTACGGAAATTCATTTCTTTTTACAGTTGTAATAGGTGTTTTTGTTGTTGGCGCTTTGAATTGCGATTTCACGCATTGAAGACGAAGCACACACACACGCACACACACAGAGGAATTATATTTCTTGAATGTGCTAATTTGTCGTTTATCTTGTATGCTACAACAACTTGTCTTACTAATTTCTTATTAATTCGATTTATGCACTTTAATTTGTAATGGAAAATAACTGTAATTTTTTTTTTTTTTGTTTATATTCTTTTTTTCAGCTCCTCACCGCCAATCTCGCACAATCACCCCAAACTGGCGACTCACCAAATGCAACCAACAACAATAACAACAACACAAGCGCTCTAAGCGGCGCCGGTGTTGTGAATGTTCCTCCGCTTAGTCCGTCGAATGTGGGTGAGTGTCGCGTAAATACGGGCACAAGCGGTTCGGCAGATGTGCCCAGTGGTGCAATGAGTCCGGATGGTCTTTCACAGAATTCTAATAATACGAATAGCGGCGCTGGTGGTGGTATAAATAGTGCAACCGTCGGCAGTGCACTGGATGGCGGCGTTGGCGTAGCTGGTTTAGGCGGCATCGCAGGACCGGGTATTGGCGCTGCTGGTGGTGTTGGTGGTGGCAGCGGCGGTGTCGGCGGTTCCTGTTGCGAAAATGGCCGTCCGATTATGACCGATCCCGTCTCGGGCCAGACGGTGTGCTCATGCCAATATGATTCGGCGCGTTTAGCGCTTTCCAGTTACTCGCGTTTGCCCGCTGCTAGCGTGGGCGTTTATGGCACGCCATATCCGTCGACAGATCAAAATCCCTATCAGAGTATCGGCGTGGACAGCTCGGCATTTTATTCACCCTTGGTAAGTAAGAGAAAAGAAGAGAATTTTAACGGTGTAAAATAATACTTCAACTGGAGTTCTCCACGTAGAATCTGCAAATTTTCCATCGCATTTGTTTAAACTGTAAACTTGCTGCTTTTTTGTTGTCTCTTTCGCTGGTAGATAATGTTGTAATATTCTTTTGTTGTTATTGTTCTTGCGTGTTTGTGCTCGCGTTGTCATTACAACAATGGCCGACAACATGCAAACTTGTTTATGCATGTGTAAAACAACAAAATGTGACAATAAAGTTGCAACAATAACAACTGTACGGTGGAGGAGAGGAAGAAGTATAATAATAACAGCAACATCTACAACAACAACAACAACAAAATGCGAAAATTACCTCCATTTGCCACCATCGTTGTCGTTGTCGTTGTCGCCTTCAGCGACTTCATCGTCGTTTGCTCCTGTCATTTGATTTCGGCCAGTGTTTATGTCGCTTGTTGTTGTTGCTTGTTGATTGTTGTTGATTGTTGTGGCGCTTGGCTTCTGAAGGCTCAAATGCTAAAATGTGCATTCAACGTTTGAATTAATGTTACTTCCTTTACGGCAGCACTGAGAAAAAAGAATGGGCCGGAATTTTTCATTGTTTTTGTTGTTGTAATTGATAAAAAAAAATTGGGGTAGTACCGTTCATATAGTGCAGTTTTCGAAAGTACTGTTGAATTTGAGGCGATTTTTGGGAAAGCATAAGCTTATAAGCCGAGGATACAAGTGTTCCTGGTGAATGGTACGACTTTTGAGCTTTGAGCTTTGAGCTTCAAGCTCCCTCTACTGAAACAATTTGGGTTGATATGTTGGGGAAGGCTTCATTGATTTCGGTTCCGGTTGTTGTTTTTGTTGTTCCTGTTGCAGTTCGGTGGGCTAGAGCTTAGGGACAGGTTTAATCTATCTAAGTCGCCGAGGTCATCTAATGAGAGGTAAACGAAACGTGCTATTTCGACGGGATAGGACCAGAGGGAAAGGGGGGTTAGATGTGTCGGCATATGAAGAAGTGGTTAGTGCCGTGCGGATACTCTTCACATAAAGGGCATACGTTCTGTATGCTGAGGAGTCTGGATAGATAGGAGTTTAATCTGCTACAGTATCCAGACCTATGTTGTGCCGGTTCCAATTTTCATTGTCCCTTTCTCCCCAAGTCCAAAAGTTTTCTTATGGTATACTCAGCTTCTCCTCGTACCTTGGCAACACATCAGGACTCGGGACCGTTATACCGCTGAATTCTCACTAGCTTGAGCCTTACTCCACTAGTTGGTCTGTTACTCGCAAGTTGAGTATCTCTAGCCTGCTTCTTCTGATCAATCACGGTCCACTTGATCAAACGCAACGAGCGCTATGTTATCACTTGTACATAAGCTATTGCGAGATCCTTCTGGCTCAAGATGGACCTCGAAAGTTCAAGGAAGTGTTTCGAATTTCGACCGGTCATTGATCATTAGATATTCATACGGTAAAGCTTATGTATCGGATCACGTGTTTTGAATTTCACTTGGAAGTCCGACAGTGTGTTGTGCACTTTTTAAAGCTTGTTTACTGCTCAGGGTCAATAGTACCGCGTAAGAGTTCAGGACCAGATGAGAGTACTGGTCTATCGCTTCAAGATCGCAAGATCTTAATGAAGTGTTTGGCATTTCGACTTGGCATTGTCCGTTGGGAGTTCACCCAGCAAGGCTTCCGAGCTCAGATTACGTGTTTTTAATTTCACATAGAAATCTTACGGTCTGCTGCTGGACTCAGCGAGCGCTAGTCGACCCCTCCCACATCCGCTATAACGAGCCCAAGGTGGATTGTGCAAGGTTAAACAAGTTTTTCTCTATCTCAAAGTCAAAAGTCCCGCCGAAAGAGAGAGTTCTGACTGGGGCTAGGAATTTTGTAGCGTCCCTGCGGTCGTAGTTGCCTGGAAGAAAACCAGATTATAAAAATGGTCTATCGCTTCAAGGAAATTTAATTTTTGGTGAGATACTCTTGCGATCAGCCACTTCTACCTTATCTAACCCGACGCTCTAATGCCGTACAAGGAAACAATGTGGGATTTTAGAAGCCTCGGATGCATATGAAAGGACGTGGAAGTACAAGTTGTAAGCAAGAGAGTTTTTTTATCCTCTCCCTTAGGATCTGGGAAACTATTTGGGACCTCCTCTTCTTCTTCTATGATTCGCTTAGGGCGTTCGCTCACCCAATTTTCTCACAGTGCACTTTTGTACCAGCAAACTGATTTGCACAACGCCATGTTGCAGTAATGTCATTAGATAGAGGAAATGGCAAGTTGTTGCCACTCGTAAATAACACAACCATTGTGAATAGAGTGCGCGGCACAAACGAAAGCGACAAGCAAGCCAACCAAATAACTGCCATGGCTGGCCATACTTCTTTTCTGTGGCTTCCTTGTGGCAGCCATGCGAGTACCAAGCACAAGCACAAGCACAAGCAGTACTGGTGGTAGTGGTGGTACGTCTAGCGACTTGTGAGTACAAAGAACATTATGTGCACCCACTTCACATATATGTATACATACACTTTATGGCCGAATAATTTCACCTCTCGACTCACCTCCAAGAGCTCCACATTTGTCGTTATGTCGCCGCGCTTACTGATTCTGTTGTTCGTCTGCCATGTCAATATCATGTCGGCTAAATCGAATCATCATTATGGCTGGTTGGCCCGGCTGACTGGCTAGTTGGCTGGTTTGGTTAGCTGGTTGAAGTTCACTTTACACACAGTGCACATTTAAACGGTTGATCGGACGTCAGGCAAGTCACCCAACACACACAGACGCTACAGAGTCGCTTGGCGGTCTTTTGGGGCGAACGTTTATTGCTGGTGCATTTGTTATTATTGTTAACTTATTTTGCATTTGCCGCTTGGCTTTGTAAACAGAGATATACACACATACATACATACATATAAGCCAACGTTATTGCTCAACACCAATCCAACGTTTTCAACGCTGAAATTTGATATTTTATCGCAACGATTGAGCAAAGCAAAATGATATCATTGAAAAAGGGTTGGGGAGCTCAAGCTCAAGGGGGAAGAGGTACATGAAGTACGTTGGTATAAAATAAAGAGTCAAAAGTCAGTGGCAAACTCTTACTGGGTTTCTAAGAGGGCGAAGAAGTACAAGAAGAAGAAGAAGAAGAAGAGAAAGAAGCGACAGAATACCGATGAAATGATGGCCTCTGGCCTGTAATTGTGTGCAGAGAGCGTATACAAGTGACTGCACTGACAACAACAACAACAACAGCAACAACAGCAACAACGAGAGCAGCACATGTTGATCACAAAATAACAATATGAAAAGCAACAAAGCGCATTGGCAACACCATAACAAATATTGGCAGCAAGTGGCAGCAACAAAATTAGTCAAGGGTCAGCGACAGTCAGTGAATTGTGGGTTTGGTTTGGTAAACAAATACCAGTAAATACCGGTATATCCATAGATACTTAACGACATTTTGCCAATCATGTTCCACATCCACATAAAATCCAAATTAATAATGAAGTGTCGTCCTGCTGAAGTCTATGCACGTGTGTGTGTGGTAGATTGGGGTTACGTAGTGCTTGCTGCCTACCAAGTGTGTACTTTTAGGTTAGGTTAGGGACACATACACATACACACAAAATTATTTATATATTTATATATATATGTATGCCCATGTGTCTGCAGTGTTTTGTACCTAATTTATTTAAGTTTTTATACCCGGCTCCAATGAGATGAGAGGTATAATGATTTTTTCGTTCAACAGTTGTTTGTATAAACAATAAAAAAAAAAATCCAAATCATGAAAATTATCGCTTTCCTAGACAAGTCATTTTTTATAAGTTCCGCTCTGGTGTTCACTTGCCAGCAAATCATTTGGGTATATTAAAAGAACTTGAGGGAGCTTTTACGTTGTTTTTGAGTGGTATTTGACTGTGACCACACCCAAAAAGCTAATATTCACCAAGTTGAGGATAACAATGTCTATAATAAAAGTATTTAAAATTGAAAAAAAAAGTTTAGAAAATCCTTAATTCAGGGAAAAGCTTAAAGTTGTGCTTTAAAGTTTTTAGTAGAATTATGACAGGCTTACAGTTTCAAAAATAAAATTAAGTTAATTTTTCTTAAAAGTTCTAGATTAACCTAAAAATGAGTAATAAAAAACCAAGAATAAAGTAATTAACTCTTTTCTTATTTGAAAAAAATTTAACTTGTGTGAAGTCAGAAAAAAAGTTGAGAGCTTTTTTAGTTTTCTTGCGTAATTTTCATGCTTTTGAGTGTGGTGAATTCGAAAATGATTTTCATGGCGTCTTAAGTGCAAGAACTGTTGCAACACCAAAATCCATACGAACCACCAACACCAATCAAATTGAGCCTTATAGTTTAAAATCGAGCTCTTCTTATTCTTTACTGGCGTAAACACCACTTTCCTTCCTTTTTTTAATATTATTTTTTTTTTTTAATATTTATTTTTTTAATATTCTTTTTATTTCGTTTTTCGACTAAGCTAAGGTCAGTGTTATTGCCTCTTAAAGGGCAGTTTAGCCTTATCTTTGAGGAACCGTTGTGGTTCTGATGAGTTTGGGGATCAGCGATAAGCCACCTTTCCATATTGTATCTCAGAGACCTGCAAACTTTGGAAGGAAGAACTACTTTAAGAGAGCTTACCTCGCTAATGTGGCTCTTACTATGGAATATCTTCTATTAGGCAGACCGGTAGTGACAGTGGACGTTTCATCATACGATTTCTGTAGGAGTTGTAGAGAGGAAGACGAGTGTGAAACTTTAAGCTTCTTTTTTGCGATTGAACATCTGGCACCCTGAAGAAGTAAGTAGAAGTATTTACGGACCGCAAGGTTTAGGGACTTCAGCGAGTGCAGAGATACTTCAAATATGGTTTGTATAGCGCATACGGGTAATTAGGATGCTCAGTGGTATCAAAATGGAACTCTATGATGGCTTTTATATATGTATATGTGCTTGGTTTATATAATTTGAT